TATATACATATGCCGAGTACTCCGGCCTGTTGGTCGGCATCCACGGTACAAGATCGCTCAGGTCGAGGGTTCGAATCCCCTCTGAAACATATGGCCTTAAGGAGGTGGTGCTCGAATTGTTAGACATATTAGGGTGGTTGGAGGCTCGTATAATAGACTTTAGGCATTCCTTTAACATATATACACACACACAAAATAGAAAAAAACAACGAAGAAAAATAGGAAAGGAATATAAAAGGAAGGAATTCCAATAAAGGAAGGGAGTAGAATAGAAAATCCGAAAAGAGAAGGGGCGACAATTCCAGCCCCCATGAAGGTCTACCGGTTCAGCCGGCCACCCAGCAAGCACCGAGTCAGTCTTTCGGGGTTGGGGAGCTTCAACTTCATTCATCAAAGCTTATGTTTTCTCGTTGCATGGAATCGCCTGATGCGTTGAAGGTAGCAAAGATATTGTGTCCTCTGGTAAGTCAATCCTGTCGGTGTTATCATTCCACATCTTGATAGAATAAATAAGCATTATATCTTGACACATCCTAAGCTGGGGCTATATATATATGTAGGTTCCCAGAATGTAACTCTAGAGTCCTTTAGTCTTGGAATATTCTTCTTCCACCTCTTGCCCTGAGTTGAATGCAGTTGATAAACCAATATGTGAGAAGAGATTAACTCTGGGGTGGACTCTGTGTCAGATTGCACCATTTTTACTGGCAACCACTCAGAAGGGACTTCCTCATTGGATATGAATCCCACTGAAGAATTTCCATCCCCAACACGCTACTAAGACAAATATCAAGGTTAGGGTTCATCCGTCCTTCCTGGACATCTAATGGTTGGTACACTGCTGAACTAAATCTAACATCTAAACAACTCAATGTAACCTCTCCGACATGACACAAAAGGGCCTCATTTCTGACATGTGGGACCCTTTTTAGTAGAGGCAAGTCAGGAATGAGTCAATAGATCTGAATGGTCTAAATTTCTCTTACTTAGGGATGCATACCTCAAATGTCGATTCCTCAAAATCAAGACAGCCTTGGACACTCTCCCTGAAGTTAGTTGGCTAAAATTATGTGCATCTTTTCCTCCTCGACTAGAAAGTGGTCCTCCTCTTTTGTGTCTTCACCGCCTCCAGTGTCTACTATGTCATTACCCAATTTTTCAAGAAAGCTCTGCCTAGTGAAACAGTTCACCCTCTGACCAAAGGAAAATATGTTGAGATTTTCATACCTATTTTAGACTGATTTTGATGATATTGCACTTTAAAGAAATGTATTTTTGATGTTTTGTTGCGGGTATGTTGAATTATGGTCATTTGAGCAAAAAGATGCAAAAATGAGCGAATTTGGAGAGAAAAAAAACCAAAATATAAAGATTTGATCTTGAACGCGACGGCGAGCTCGACGCCGCCGACGGCGAGTTTTTCCCCAGTTCGGAATTAAATATTCTAGAAGACCGCCGACAGCGCTATCGAGGCTGCCGACGGCGAGCATACCGGCTCTCTCAACAGATGCTTTGAATGTGGACGATTATTGAAGGGACGTTTGGGCAACTCTTGAAAACTCTTCTACAACTTTAAAAGAAACAATTGGAGGCCGAAAAAGAAATGTCCGCTGAGTCTTTGTTGTTTGTGGTGCCCATTAGAGTGTAGAGAGTGATTAGTATTGTGAGGAATTCTTCGAGAGATTGTAAGAGTGGAAGGCAAGCGAGAGATTTATTCCTCCTTGCCGCTTCAAAGGAGAATTTTGTGTTGTAAAGAAAGGAAGAGATTCAGAGGAACTTCGAGGAGTTTACTTGGGGAGAAATTGAAGATAAGTTGTATTTACTTATTGAAGTTTGTATGAAAGTTGGGTGCAAATAAATAGGAAAATAAAAATTATCGGGTGTAGAATTAGAGATTTTAGAGTGACAGACTAAAATCCTCAATTCAGTCCTATTGTTTGGGTGTTGAAGTGTAGATGTTAGCCCTCAGGCGAGGGGAACGTGAGAGCTCCGAAGTGAGAGCTGGTATCCTCCCAGCCTAGCCGCAGATTTAGTTACTAAGCATAGGATTAGTCAATCTTCTATATGTCTGGTCCAAAGAGTAAAGAATATGTATGCTCCTGTTTTATACAATACAATTTGAACTGATTCAATTTATCAATTCACTTAAATTTCTTGACAAGGAGAATGATGCTTTCTTATATATTGAACTTCACATTAGAAACTTTATTAGTAGAATTAGTTAATTAAGAGTTTATTAA